AAGGCTTAAAATCTGTGTATATGTGAGAAGATGGACATATAAACATAAATGTCAACATTTGAAAAAAAAATGAATTGGCTGGTGGGGGTGGGTAGAGTGCCAAAATAATTGTTTTTACTTTTTTCCATAATTTTATTGATAAACAAATAGCAATGAGACAGTTTCAAATCAAATCGGTAGGACAGTTTCAATAATTAACACATTGCATACATTCTTCCTAGTGATTAATTGCTATACAAGATGTGGACATGAGATACTATTTACAAACACCATTAGAACAAATCCCTCTATTCATTAAGAGAATGTAACTATATATCTATTCTAACCACTTTGGATACACAGATGCAAAATGGATATTCATCTGTATCCTCTTTTTTTGTTAAGTTCTGTTATTTGAATATTATAGGTGTGTTAACTCAGCAAAATATTCTACAAGATTCCAGTAGTCCATAATAGTATTGGGTCTTCTGCTTCACTGGCAATATCAGAAACTGTTGACCTGAATCCTCTACAGCTCAACATAACACCATGGCCTTACTTCTTATACTTCGTTTTTATACTTTTCTGCTGGACGGTTAAGACCAAGGTAAAGCACGACCTATGCAACAAGAGTTGTAGCTTTTGGGTCTGATAAGATCAGTGAAATCCCCTCAGGATTTATTCTGAGATCCTGTACCTCAGATTGTAGAACCTTTGTCAGTGTCAGCCATGTGGATGAGTCATGGCCAGTGCTCGGCCAATGTGCTCTCTGTGAAAGCCTGAGAGAATGTTTTCTCTCCATGTGACTACCCTTAGGCACACTCTACATCATCGATCACTTTCCTCTTTGGCCTCATAATCGTCTTGATCAGAAAATTTGGGACACTACCAAGTTACATGACATTACAGTACAATTTCTCATATGTCCTGAGTCTTAATTGACCTTGGAAGGCTAGGGCCAAAATGTTGGCTTTCCTTGCAGCCCTCCTTTTTCTCTAATTTTGGTCTGAAAATTTAGGTTGTTAACCCTCCAGAACAGAAGTTTATTGTCATTACCATACAACCTAGGCTGTTAAGCTTAACCTCACTATCTGTCTGAATATCAAAAATCTTAGGCATAACATGGAACAGGTATTTTTCATCAAGTATTGATATGTTGAACTTTAAGTCCCTACAGAATATGATGAAAAACATTTAAAATTAGAATATATTTTAAAAAATAGGTGTAAATAATTATATACTTCTTATGTTTACACATAAGTCCAAAAATTTAACCATATACAACCTTGAAGCAGGACAGTCCCACAACATTTTGTTTTTACTTTTGAAAAAGTTTTTTTTTTTTTCCTTCTGATAGCCATGCAGAGATAGATAATGTAGAGGTATATAGTCCTCTTGGTTACTTACTTTGGGGATAGTGCCTTCTGGTTGATATGTTTAGTAACTCAAAGTGTTGTTTGGCTTGAGCTCCATTTTGATCTTGCAAAACTACTTTTTGCTCATTTTATTCTTTATGCATTGATTTCATTATTTAATTTTTATAAGGCTACAGTTACTTATTTCATTTCCTATTTCCCTAGAAGGAGAACATCAGTGGAACTCAATGCAAGGGCCATAGTAATCTGTCAGACTTAGAGAAATACATGGATATTTCAAATCATCTTATAAAAAGTCACCAAGCCTATAGAAAACAAATAAGCTTTTTTGTATTCACTCTGCTTTGATGTCTTACCAAAGATAAAAGCAAAATATAATTACTAATCTTCAATAAGCACACACATACAATGACACTCAACTATTTATCTAGAATAAAAGAAATCTCCAGTGAGATCCAGAGTGTCAACAGAATATTCAGTTCTTCTTTATTACCCAGATGAATCCATGATGCAGAAATAACTAGCTACCTAAGGATCTGATAATGTCAGCATGAGCTTGTTTGCTATACACAAATGCCCCACTTACTTTCAATTGTAAATTTCCCTTAGGATCCATTGTTAAACAGGAACTCATAAAAAAGTACGCATTCTGTACAGTTACAAATGACATTATAACTTAGATGGCTATTTACTTTAAATTTATGCCTCTGTGTGGAAGGCATCTGAAGTTTTCTTTTTCTCCTATGTACCACCCTCCTTAAATCTCAGGTGCTGGATGAATGGATCATTTGGGCACTCTTCATGGCTCCATTATAAATTTTCTAAATTAAATTTTTAATAAAAGTTTCTTAACTAACTTCTCAGGGCTGATTCACTGGTATCAATTAGACATGATCTTATCCTGAACATGGGGCTCACTGTTTCTTTTTGTCTCTCATACTTATAATTTTCAATGATTAGTAATACTCAAATTTGAAGGAATGGAAACTGCCAATGGGTTTGTGAATTGCTTTTTCCTTTTAAGTAGCTGGTGAATCAGTTCTTATTGCTGTTCTTGCTCATTTTTTATCTTTCTTCCTAAGTATGAATTAGGCACATTTGGAGGTTTGTAAAAGTCATATTCTGTACAAAAATAAAGCATGTGATGCAAAAGGATCTCAAGGAATCAGACCTAAAATTTTGCACTCAAAAATTTGCACACAAAAGTGTGCCCCTTGTAGCAGATGCTGCTGGTATAATACCCAGATGCTCTGGGCCAACTGGGCCACACCCTGTTCACTGCATGGCTGGTGGCTCTCAATGTTTCCTTCTTTGGAAGATTGCTCTTTAATGATCAGAGACACCTTGCACATCATAACCCATATGAAGGTTCTCGACAAGGAGCTGATGATTGGTATGGGATATACCTCCCTCCGAGCATGAAATCTTCTTCTGACAACCTCCATAGTCCCAAGGTCATGAGATGGAGGGCAACTCCCTCTTGAAATCATATTCTTCCTCAGTTCTCTCCACTTCTTGATCATGCTTCCCCTGTACCTTGAGAAGTTATATCTAAGTATGTTTCCTTCAGAAATTACTAGCAATATTCTTATCCTCTGCAGTATTTCTACAGGACTATTTTAGTTACCTATTTAAGGTAACTAAACAACAGAGAGAGAGAGAGAGAGAGAGAGAGAGAGAGAGAGAGAGAGAGAGAGAGAGAGAGAGAGAGAAAGAGAGAGAGAAAGAGAGAGAGCCTGTGAGCCACTATCACTGAAATTAAATTTCCATCATTGGAATTAGTAACAATTTTTCATAACTAACAGGCATGGTTCATCTTTCTCTGATTACCAGAAAATAAATAATCTAGATAAATCTGTAGATAAAATGTCTACATGCTTAAATCACTTCAAATGACTTAAAATAACAGTGTGGGCATGAATGGGCTTCAGCAAACCTTCACAGCTCAAACTTTCAGGTTTGGGTTCTCATCCCTCTACTCTCTATTAGCTTTTCTTTTTGCTTGAGACTGAACAATGATTAAAAATAAATGACTTATTGAGTACAAACTATGCAGAGGTTCAGAGCTAGTAGCCCTATCGATGTTAAGTGTTTGATTGATATAGGAGTCCATCTAGGGCTTTATAAATATTAAACCTATGTTAGAAATGAAGAAATTGAGATTCAGTGACCATTTCATGCCTGATCCATAGACATCTCATGAGTAAATGGCACAGATGAGATGCAGACCCTAGTTTGCTGATCATAAAACCCACATTCTCACTCAGTTGGTCACAGTATTAAAGAGGAGGACCTTTTGCAGTTCCACACATCCTTAGCCAGCTTCCATATGCTTCCCCACCAAGTCTTCTCATGAGGTCACAGAGTTGCCTTGAAGGACTAGAGCAGCCTCTAGTGCTCCGCTAGCCTGAGCTATTACATGACTTGTATTGCAATCCAGAAGCCCAACTCTTGCTCTGGCTCTTGAACCCCCAGGGATGACTACAAGGCAGGGACTTGATCTGGAGCTCACTCTTGCTTGACTTGTTTTACCTCCTTGTTCTATTTTACCCTGGCTCCCCCAATCCTGGTTTCCTCTGGGATCTCCATTCCTGAATCACTTGTTCCTGAACTTGGTCCAGGCTCTTGTTGAGAAAATTTTCACTTAGAAAATACACAAAAGGAATAAAAGAGACAAATACTAACCAATTCACTTGCATTCTGGACTTCTACATCCACTTGTATATTTTTCTATTTCAAAAGGTTTACTGTTCTTATAAAGTAATGTATATTCATTGTAAAGAAAAAAAAGAAACAGAAAAAAATACAGATAACACAAAGCAAAATAAGTCAAATAACTTAAAACCAAAATGTTTATAATCACTAAAATTCAGAAAAAAATTACTATTTTTGTGTCTTGCATATTTACATGCTTGAGATTACTGTACATACTATTTATCATGTACTTTTTCTTGTAATCATGTTTACCATGTAACATTAGTATACTGTCTTCCTATGACAGCAAAAATTCCTCTACAAAATCTTATCATTTTGGGGAGGTGAGATCAAGTGCCCGGGTGAGGAGCTTAGGCATGGAAGCACTATGTTCCCACAGTGGAACGGAGTTGGGGGCTGTCACAATAACTCCAGGGGCAATGGAAGCTTATTCAGCCCAACACATCCAGGACACATTTACAGTAGTGGGTGGGAAAGAAACCCTTTCTCACACAATTGCATATGGGTCTTCTTTCCTAATAGTAAATTGTTCCTTTGTCAGTTCTCTCTCTCTCTCAAAAAAAAAAAAAAAAAAATAGAAATGACATAGAATTTCACTAAACAAAATAATAGGAATTCAACAATTGTTGTTATATAGCATAATGTTGGCTCAAATTAGGTTAGATGACCAGATATAAGCATGCACAATTGGTTTAAAAAGTCATAAGAAATTAAAGAGGAGAAGAAAAACTTAAGCATTTTCATTAGATTATCTTTAAATGAACAATAGTGTCCTTCTAGTCAATTTTTTGACAGTCAAGTTTATACTTAACTGCCAAATAGTCTCCTTCGTCACTGCAGTTTATCTTCGCCATTCAAATTAGAATATAAATAATTGTTAAAGCAAAACTAAATATTTGATAAGGAATTTGTAATGGGATTTAGCTCTGATGGAGATTATCTACTTTCTCCAAAGTTTGGTCCCTGGGTTTCAAAGCCTTTACCCCAAGAAGGTAAACTGCTATGATTTAGCTCTTCAAGGCAGCTTCCAAAGCTTCAGCTTTTTCTGTGATGTTCTTCTGAAAAGGCATCATGAAATCTTCAAAGTCTACTTCGTAACTGAACCTTTCCCGCCGCAGTTCCCGTTTCCGGACCAGTTCTGCTGTGGTGGCTTCAGGGCTCCAAACCTTAAATAAATAGCCAAACCCAGTGCAATCATGAGTGTGGTTACCAGTGAATATGGTGGCATCCAAAAGTTTTAGTTTTAATTAGTTTTAATTAAGTGAATACTAGGTCAATGCTACACCACTGAGTTATGTCCCCCAGGCTAAGAAGGTTTTTGAGAATTTTAACATAAAATAATCACATTTACTTCTGCACATATCTTAACATTCTTTCCCCTCTTATACAGTATCAGTGATGGTGTGAGCACCTCTGCCTCAGGTCAGGACCAACAGGCTGAACTCAGAGTGCACTGCAGGTACTCATCTGACCAGTGACTTGTGGGCCAGACGTGAGTCATTTTAGGAGATCAAAACAAGAAAGCAAAAGAACTCGAAGATCATCGGGGTTACTACTTTGTATTTTATGTGGCAGGTGAAAGCAGGAGGAATTGATTCTTCAGTATGCTCCCAAAGATATCTTTACCTCTTTACTTGTAGATGTTTTGGGTAGCTAACTGAATACATCCCGTCTTATCAGTATGAAAATCTCAAGTATGGTAAAGATTGTGAAGAAGAGGGTTGGATCTGAGAAGTACCAGGAATAAGAAGCTATGGAACTTGGTGAGTGGGGGATGTAGGGAAGACCACTGAGCAAAGAAGACTCCAGTCTTTTAAAGTAAACTTAGATGTCAGGTGAGAAATAGGAACAAAGAGAACCAGATAGTGGTAAAGGCCTCCTGCAGACAGTGACTTAAAAGAAAAACTCTTTTTGTTTGGATGATGTACACAGGAAACATCTGAAAGATAGTATGAGCTCCACCACACTATGGCCATCTTTCCAAGGTGCTTACCCTTCGAGGATTAAATATTATATTCATTTTCTTGGTGTAACCACTGGTAATCAAGGAATTGAGATAAACCACATTATCTTTGCGCTTTTTCTTCTTTTCTGTTGGTACAGTTGGCACAGCATACAGTGATGCAAGTGCTTCCTAGAAAAGATTTTTAAAACTTAAAAATTAAAATGACAAGAGCTTACTTCCTAATACTGTTTTTCTACAACTTATTCTCAAACCAAGGGGGAAAACACCTACAAGTGCTACTATACAAGTTATAATTTGAGATAGGGTAGGCTATTTTTATAGGCTTGGGTGAGGAGAAGTAATTACTCTTTTGTTTAGTTCTTCTTAATTAGTCCTCTCAGTCACAGATCATGGAAATCTTCAAGATGCCCATTGTCACCTGTGACTTTTCATTAAACAAAAGCATGGGACCCTCTGAAATGATAATTCTGGCTAGAGTAAGAGCTTTGGTTGACTGACTCTTTGCTCCTTGCCACTATCATCCTTCATGTTTACAACTCTATGCTGGCTCCCTACAATCCCTTTACCGATGTAGTGCCTACTGCCTACGTCCCCCAATTTCTCTCAGTTTGATTGAATTAGAGCTTTTCTGCCTTGGCTTTCATCCTGTCCTCTGTCTTGTTGTGAATCTGCTGTTTCCTTCAAAGAAGATTCCAGCCTAGACACATACTTAGGAAGCCCTGCACATGGTAACAGCTGGAGGTCCCAATAATTCCCATGGGGAGAAACCCCAACTCCTGCTGGCAGTTCAGAGGTAGGTAATGTACTCTAGACTATTGGAAGTGGTCATTCAGGTACATGCTAAACCTTGTGGAGTTACTTTTCAAGACATCCAAGTTACAAGTGATGGCATATTACAGAGTTCAGGGAATTCATTAAAATTTCTTGATGGGGAAGAGGAAAGTAGGCAATGGGTATGAGACCAAAATGAAGAAAAATGCTTTACTTTTTGTTCCTCATAAAGATTGCCACTCCATTCCCTCTTTGGGTCCCATCTCATCAAATCTGTATAGTTCAAGATCAAATATGTACACATTCGGTATCAGTTTTTTTTTTTCAATATTCTAATTACATTTTGCTGAACTCTTTTGGGTTTTGTGCAGATTCTGTTTGCAATGAACATGTTTTGGACTCTTCAGTAATAGAAATTTTTTCCTAGATATTCCTTTTCAAAATTCTATATCACAGTGCTGAAAGTATACATTTGGCCAAGTCATAATAATAATGTAAATACTTTTTCTACTCATCAACAAAGTTTTAAGGAGTTATAGTTATTAATGGGTAGGCAATCCCTTTTTTTACCTCTTCTTTTTTAACTTCAGGGCCTTCCATCTTTGCTTTCAGGGGTGGCTTGGCTTTCAGTTTTTGACTTTCTGCTTGTTTAGGCAAGTTATCTAACTTTTCTTTAATCAAATCGATTATTCTATAATCAGCATATGCCTTTGCAATGTCCATGGCAGTATGCCCTGTTTAAGACACAAATTCAGAGTTAGGAAAAAAAGATTTTGGGGTAACCATGTAGGAAAAAAAAATCAGCATAGTATCTCTAAGCCTATGGTAGGGTGACTATTAAAGCCAATGATATGTGTAAATTCAGAGATGGGTATTTTCTACTATAGACCCAGATCCCAATCCTGTGATTTAAGCCACATTTACTAGCATAAAAATTGTTTTGCTTAATTTCTAAATTGCATTTCTCAAAAAGAGAATGGGAAATAACAGACCATAGTGCTTTCCCCAGTGTACATATTTCCTTTTGGGTGATAATTTTACCCTATCTTCCACTTTTCATAATGTGGGAAGTCAAATTCCACAAATTCTACCTGAGAAGTCAGCACAGTCCATGCAGAGACTTCTTTCTGCAGGGTATTCAGTTCTCTATAACATCACACAGGTCTCAGTGCTGCATTCTGTGTAACAACACCAGGCAGACCTGGTGCAGTATTACCTGTGACCAGAGGCAGCCCGAAGTGGAAGAGGTTTGAAGACGAGCAATGGGCTCTAAGTAAGGAAACACCTTTACATAAAGAGCTCAAATACTCTTCAAATGCCCTTCTAATCTTCCTATATAGTACTTAATGGCATCAGGTATGCCACCTATTTATTTCCTAGAGGCAGGAAAGCTTCACTTCAAGAATTGCTCAGTCCAGGTTTAAGAGGTGCATAAAGTTTACAGAGTGACTCCATGGCCACTTATTAGGAATTAAAAGTGATAACTCAAAATGTGATCTGCAAGTTGGTACAAGTCCACAAACTAACAAATAGTTACTGATCCATGAAGAAATTAGTACAGAAATTAAGTGGTTAGAACTTTTTATATCAGTTTAATAATTTATTTGAAAATTCATTGTTTGAATTTATCAATCCAAAAGAATTTTGAGTTTTTATTTTGTGTTTCTTTCCATTTCCTCTTGTATTGCATAATTTATTGTGCTTTATAAAAGTATCAGCACATGACAGAACTGCAAAGAACTGGCTCTTGATGGCACCAGGTATTAGACAAAACATCTGGAACACTGAACAGAAGTTGTACCTATAGCCCAGGGGAAAATGTAGCCCTGCAAGAGAACTGGAATCTAAAATCAACTCATTTTGTCTAACGCTACCTATCAGAAATATGAACACATACCTTTTCTGTTTTCCAGCTGAAATTTAGCACCAATATCAAGTAGGTATTTTACAGTATCCATTCTACAGCTTTCGATAGCTCGACTCAGAGGAGTGGTGTTGTTGATTGAAAGGGCATCGATTGCAGCTCCAGACTTGACAAGAAGCTCAACGATGTCTTGCTGGCCGGCATGACATGCGAAATGCAGCGGAGTCCACAGAAAATTATCTGTGGCATTAACATTGGCTCTGTAAAACAAGACCGATACACAAACTGAAAAATTTAGTGGTTCCAACCACTGGAAAGTAAAAAGGCCACGTGAAATTTCACACATAGCTTACCAAGTTTTACATTATAAGCCAGAGAGCCCTGAGTAAAGTCTGTCATAATTTTTCCTGCAAACTATTTTTTCTACATTATTTGACAGTCTTAACTTCCTTTGTTTGTAGACACTGATCTTGCTTAGCTTTGAACAGCATTTAGATCTTAGAGATTATGGTTTCGCAAAGTTTAAAATAAAGGAAAACCAGAAGACTCAATCCAGTAGAGATCAAAACTGACAGAAACATGTTTTATTATTCCACTTTGCATCTATTCCTCTGAATGTTATGAATTTTTAAATGAGTTTTCATTATTAGAAATCTAAGCATTATAATATATTATTTAAAATTTTAGTCCTTGTTAGCTTTTTACTGGCAAAAGTTCAAGCTTCTTTAGCTGCTTTACGTGTCTTTTGGTAATACAGAAATTTGAGTGTTTAACATTTGAGTAATAACAGCTTTAATGTCTAGTTTTAGATACACAATTACTGTGCCAGATAATGCTATTCATATTTTAACTGCTTTAATTGTTAACAAATTCTGAGATGAGTCCCTCATTACATGAGCAAGCCAAGACACAGAAATGTTAAAAAAAAATGTCCAGGTTATGCAACTATGGTAGAAGAAATTAGACACAATTAATTATTTTAGTAAAGAAAGAAGTGGAAATGCCCTGTTTTGATATTTTAAAGATAGCTGAAAGCAAGCCAAAAATGAACTTGCCCTCTTTGAGGTAGATACTACATGACAGAGTGACCAAAATCTGTCCTTATTCATTGTGGTCAGCATCCCATTTGTTTAAATTTGTTGAGACCCTCATAAACAAGAGGCAGATTAGAAAGTGACTCCCTATCATCCAGGTAGGATACAGGTCAAATTGAGTTGTCCTAGCCCTCACAGGAAGTCAGCAATGCCCAATCAAAAGGTCCCTTCACCTACGCAGCAAGAACCTGTGGCTTGGGGCCTGCCCCTTAGCTCAGTTGTTTAAGTGGCTGCTTCAACAAAGCAGTCAGCCTCAGGGTTGCTGTGGTTGGATCCCCACATCTCCAGCCAGTCAGACATGCCCTGAAGGCATTCTGAGCCAGCCCCCCACCCAAAAAAAATCCTTCTGCCATTTTTTTAGGGGACTCAGGTCAACAATTTCTGACATTGCCAGTGAAGGGGAAGACCCAATACTATTATGGACTACTGAACTCTTTTAGAATATTTTGCTGAGTTCACATACCTATAATATTCAAATAACGGAACTTAACAAAAAAAAGGGGGATACAGATGAATGTCCATTTTGTATCTGTGTATTCAAAGTGGTTAGGATAGATATATAGTTACATTCTCTTAATGAACAGAGGGATTTGTTCTAATTGTGTTTGTAAATAGGATATCATGTCCGCATCTTGTATAGCAATTAACCACTAGGAAGAATGTATGTAATGTGTTAATTATTGAAACTGTCTTACCAATTTGGTTTGAAACTGTCTCTTTGCTATTTGTATCTCAATAAAATTATGGAAAAAAAAAGAGAACCTGTGGCCTTCGCTTTGTGCGTAATGGTTACTGGCAAGCTATCTTTGTGCTAAAACAACGCTACACTCTCATTAGCCTGGATTCTCCTGTCAGATCCATTTACTGTAAGATTTGCTAAAAAAGTACCTTCTACACTACAAAAAATTCCTGGAACTGTATGTTTCTTATGGCTTCTTTTGTTTCCTTAAAAGGTAAGGACTCATACAAATTTAACCTCACTGGACCAAAAACATACCCTTTTTCAAGAAGAAACTTGACCACATCTATATTTCCACTTGCACATGCCATCATTAGTGGTGTCTTGTAATATTTATCTTTCATATCCACAGGTATTCCTGATTCGAAAGCCTTTTTCAAAGATGCCAGGTCTCCTGCCTTAGTGATGAAATTAATATTTGAAAAGACCTTCCCTGGATCATCAATGTACCAAGCAGAATCATCCTGCATGGGATGTTCTGGTGGGTGGTCCTGGTTGAACCGGCTGCAATCAGTTACGTTCTGATAGGTTTCAATCATGTAATAGGGAGGCCCACCATCTGACCGGTGTGGAAATGCGTCTTCAGGAATAACACAGACTGGAAGAGGTATCACAAACTTGCCCTTTCTTCCCTTTTTGCCCATTCCTTTTTTCTTTTTCTTAGCTCCATAAGATCCCAAGACAAAAGCCTTGTTTAGGTATTTAGTTCCTTTAAAGAACTCACTAATGTTGACGCCTCCTCCCCGGGTTTTTTCATGAAGTTGAGCTATGGAAAACAGCTGTTCAGAGCTGGCATACTCTTGCCTCTCCTCCAAGGTCATCACAAAGTCTTCTTTGGACACTGACCCATCACCCCTGTCCACAAATGAGAAGATTTCCTTAAGAAAAGTCTCATGTTCTACAGACCAGTCATGCAGTCTGAGGGCCCAGGGTGGATTAGGATTCTTGGCTCCTGGTTTGGCCAGTTTATTAGCAATTCGCTCCGCTCGACGAATTTCTTTGCTGGCTACTTTGAAACCACCTTCTTTTGCCAAAGCCCGGGGTGTTTTGTGGTCTAAATTCTTCCATTTCAGGTCACATCCTAAAACAGGAAGCACTGTTATTAACAAAGGTATCACAGCATCCTTATGGCCCTACAAATGACCCTCATGCAATTGGTTCATTAAACTTGAGGATTCATCAGAAGTTTGTCTTAAAATCTTCTACACAGAAGAGCACACTTAGCTACTATAATTACATACTTAAGCTGCAATTTCTTTTCTTGTGGGTTTCACTTTGGTGAATCCTGACGATGATAAGTTTAAGATCTTTGTCCACTCACAAAAGAGTGGCCTATTTATTCCTCTATGTAAATAGATATTTTGGACAAAAATGTAAATATGTAAATATGAAAAGGTCCCTTCACCTACGCAGCAAGAACCTGTGGCTGCGTACAAATATCACCTGGGGTTCTTGTTGAGGAAACTTTATGCCAACAGAAAAACAGAGAGGTTACACTGGCATTTGGGAAGAAGAATCTAGATGCAGACAACTTAAGTAGCACTTTATGGGCTCCGAATGCTCAAAAATAGTTGCTTTTTCTTGAGTGATTTAGATTATAAATCTGCACATGGTCTTCAGTAATATTTTATGTTTTCCCCACTGGAGTAAGGCAATTTATGCCAATCTGATATTTTGTGGAAAAGTCATATGAGCTACTTTAACAGAGGAAATCTTAATTTGTTAATCAAATCCTAGAATTCTAGTTTTTTAAATTTTTGTACAAATTATACATCAAAATTCATGTTACTTTTGAGTCTGTAACAAGACCAACATTATTGTTATTATTATTTATTTTTTGGCGGAACCGGGGATTGAACTCAGGCCCTTGTGCTCCTCAGAGAAGCACTTATTCCACTGAGCCATCTCCCCAGCCCCAGACCAACATTATTTGTAAATATTCCCCAAAGAACTAAACTTTTCTCAATGTATCAGAGAATCTATTTAAGGGCTTGGAAGAAGGTTGTATCATCTGTAAGGGGTCTTGAGACATTAGAAATCCATTATGTATATGAATAAGTCATTCTATGAAATAGCTCTTTCTGGTGTTTTTGGTATAGAAAAAGGCTTATCTACTGTTTTGCCAACATCAAATACTCAGAAATGATTGATATCCAGTAGTAATGCTAGAAATCAAATGCGCGCAGGTAACTGTGCAGAAATAGAACATGTTTCAGAACTTTATAATATTGTTCCTTGTCAAACAGATCCTTGCCTTGATAGATACAATAAGGTTCATGATACAGTTCTACTTCTGTGTGTTTGAGAGAAGAAACCCACAGAACCAAAGGGAGAGGAAGAAAAAAATATATTACTCATGTTTTTCTAGACAGTGAAGATTATAAAAGTTTGTATCAGCCAGTTTTAAGAGTAGTGACTTACTGGCAAGGAAACCCTGAAAATGGTCTCAATTATAAAAACTCATAGCAATCCCATAGCACAGTTCCTTAGTAATTTGAACACTATTGTTTTCACTATTTATTCTTATTCAGCATGTCTCGGGTTTTCTCTAGCTCCATTCAAGCCACTCCTTTATGTTCACTGCAGCTCCAATGATTGAGGATTGTGTAGCTCCTTATAGCCTGCTGGTTCCCTCTTAGTTTGGAAACTTTGTGTGAATAAAACCCCACAACATTCAGCAGGTCAGTAAGACCTGAATGCATTTTGCCTTTTCAGCCTTGGCACTTTTTCCATTTCCTTCTATGTAATTATTATTGTCAGTCCTTATTTATAAGATCTACTCCCAGAAATCTAACCAATTAATGATACATAATATTGGGGAAAATTGCATCTATTGAAGTATGTAGAAGTTTTTCCCTGTGACTGACAATATGATAACTATTTACATATCATTATACTGTATTAGGTATTGTAAATAATTTAGAGATGATTTAAAGTATTCAAAAGGATGTAAGTAGGCTACATACACACACTGTCCCACTCTGGATAAGTAATTTGGGCAACCTTGGAGTTTGGTATCCTTGGAAGTCCGAGGGCCAATCCCTCATTGTAAATAAAGACCCTTTCTTTCTCTCCACCATTTAGGTTCCTCCATACTAAGGAAGCTCAGCTTTCCATTGGCTAATGCTGTAAGACACAGGGAGCCAAAGTCCCTAAAGGAGGAAATCTCTCTTGAGGCAACTTGGAGACTGCCCTGGTCTGCCTTGGGTGAGGATCTCACATGGCTCATAGGGAGCTGTAAAGTATTCCAATAGCAGAACCAGGTGCTGACAGAAGAAGATACTGAACAAGAAATTTTTTCATAGAAAAACAATCCAGCCAGAACAATTGTTATACATTTATTTATTTATTTATTTATTTTTGTATTTTTAGGGAAGGGTCTACAGAGTGTTCAGGGTCTCACTACTAGATCAGATTCATAGTGATCCACCTGTTTACAGCCTCCCAAGAGCTGAGACTACAGGGGTGTGCCACTACACCCAGTCTCCATTGCTATCTCAGCATACCCCAGGGGCAGGGCCAGCTTGGCAGGCCCAGCTCCGCAGGCCTGGGGATTGAACCCCATCCCCCTGTGCCTGCGTGCAGGCACTTTAATCCGCTGAGCTATCTGGCCGGCCCTTTGTTTTACATTTAAACATAGAAGAAACTAAACCCAGGGCATTTTTGCACACATAAGGGTTTCAGTTTTAATTGGTTCTGGCTACTCTGAGAGCCTTAGATTGGAGTCTAAAGATTGAAATATAGCTGGTACTAACACTTCTGTTATGGAATTGGTCACCCCTATAGGGTCTGGTGATGGATTAGTATTTCCAAACACTCTATAGATATCAAAATGTTTGCAGACATTTGATTTAAAAATAGTTTCAGGAAGACAGATATTTTCTATGTCATTGGTCAAGGGTGTTATGTATGAATCAAGTTCTGGCCTTTTGCTTCTCAATGTGCCTTTTGTGACTGTATCCCAAGAATACATCAAAGTTTGAGTATATGTGTAGTGATATTTGTTCCATTATGATAAAGTCATCATGTTAAAGTTGAAACAACTTGTCTCAACCTGGGAAGATTATATATTTTTAGAAATATAAAATATTAAAATGGCATTTCAGAATAAATTGCTAATAGTAGAAAAACTTGAAAGTAAGACCAATAAGACAGAGAGCACAAAAATTATATACAGTATACTTTTCTTCTTTACCTATTAAAAGGGCTTATAATAGGTGTGGAAAGGGAGAAATTATAAATTTATAAGAGTAAAAATGGATCAGCTATTATTCTCTTAGTCACAGAGTCCTGTTAGTCATATGTATCAATAGTTAGTGTGTGATCCTTAGGTCCTGGTAACTTCTAAAATTCTCTGCTTATGTAGAGGACAGAAAAATAAAACACCCTCTCTGTTTTATTAGATACTTATTTTTGAAGTTAGTTCTTGTCTATTTCTGACAGCAGGAAAAAATGTAAAATTCAGCAAAATGCAATTTCATTTCTAATAAAATTCTGATGTAAATTCAACTAATAGGTAATAAACAACAGATTGATCCATCTTTCAACTTAGTTATCTAACGTTTTCATTTTAAGGTACTAATTATGCTGTACTATACATAATATAGTTTATATTCCTAAATTAATAGTTACTTAAAAACTATAGGAAATTCTAAAACATACTGCTTTGCATTTATAATTTTCCATAACAATTTTTGTTTTATTTCATGTCACCCACCCAAATATTGACCTCTGTATTTGGAAACTATCCAGAAAGTCAACAAGAAAGAACATTTTAAAAATAAATGATTAAAATTTTACACCAAAAGAACTGATTTTCAATTTTTGTCCTTTTTCTGATTGATGTTGGCGCCTTAAAGAATTTAATCAATTGAAGCATTTTTATATTTAGTTTTCTCAAAACACTCACCCTCAGATTTTTAACAATAACCTAAACTTTTTGAAAAAAAATGATTTTCATCATTTGTGATACTACTTTCATGATTCAACAGAAGATGGTATAAGAAAAAATTTCCAATTTTCTTTCTCTCCATGACTAGTCATTTGATATCGGAAAAAAAAAAAAAACCCAAACAACTGATGAGCAACAGGCTCCAATTGCTCATGTATGATACTGGTAAGCCATAAAAACTTTAGGTGCCAAATTATTAGAAAATTTACCTCTCTGAGCTATGTATTTACAGCAATCGGCAAAGCCACCCATGGCAGCGTAGTGAAGGGGTGTGTTCCCATTCATCGCGATCATCCCCAAGTCTCCATTGTACGCGAAGAGAAGCTTCAGTATCTGCAAATAAGCAGTGGGCATTGCAGAGGTCCGGAGTGGTTGGTCACTGAAGAAGGAATAGCGTCTAGACCTACACTAGCCACCATGGCATCTATTAACAGTATGTGACTTCTGAAAGCTCAAATGGAAATGAAGTAAATTTAAAACAATTAAAACCTTATTTCCTTAGTACTATCAGCCATGTTTAAAGAGCTCAAAGGCCACATGTGGTTACTGCATTGTGCAGCTCAGATAGAGCATCGTGGCTCAACACTCTATCAAACAGCTTTGATCTAAAGAATAGAAAGCCTCGCTCACCTGGGACACTGCCATTTGGGGAAGTGGAAGATATTTCAGAAAGCAGAATATGGCAAAAATTAGGGGAGTGGGTTGTTTACTTAATGGGACCTAATTAGTATGCTTTTATCATCTAAAAGAGTCCATGAGAGAAACAAAGGCGGTTACATTAAATCTCCAGAAAAACTGAGTGAAGACAAATGAAATTCAGATTTTTAAAAAAGGTTTACTGTTACTTGAGGATTAGACAATGAAAAGAAGCAAGGAGAAATGCTGGGAAACATGACAGGGGCAAAGCCATTTATATGCACAAGATAGGTAAGGCAATGATCCTGAGAAACATCAGCAGGTCTTTGAAACTAGCAGTTAATTGGTAGGATTCTCACTCTGACTAACTATATATGCTGATACCCGTGAACTAAGCAACTGCACTAAGGATAGCAATGTGTAATAGTAGGGCCATGCCTGGAATGCCTGTCATTCTGGTCTTCTAAATACATACTGCTTGTCATGTCATACCAATTATTGCCATACTGTCTCTGAAGTAAATATTTTTTTAAGAAAAGGATAACAAATGAAAAATAGAAACAAGAAAAAAAAATGTCACAGGACTGTCCTGCTACAATGCTGTATATGTTTAGATTTCTAAATTTCTGTGCAAAAATATGTAATTGTTTATTCATATTTTTTGAATTTTATTTTTTAATTTTTTTCTTCATATTCTGGAGGGATTTAAAGTTTAATATATCAATACTTGATGGAAAATACCTATTTCACATTATGCCTAAGATGTTTGATATTCAGACAGATAGTGAGGTTAAATTCAAATGCATATGTTGTAGGGCAATAATAAGGTTCTCTCCTGGAGGGTTAACAACCTAAGTTTGCAGACCAAAAATTAGAGAAAAAGAAGGGCTGCAAGGTCAGCCAACATTTTAGTCCTTTCCTTTATAGGTCAGTGAAGACTCAGGACGTAGGAGAACCTATACTGTAACATCCTGTAACACAGTTGTGTCCCAAATTTTCTGATCAAGGAGATTATGGGGCCACAGAGCAATGTGACTGATGTCATAGTGTGTGCCTAAGGAGAGTCACATGGAGAGAAAACATTCTCTCAGGCTTTCATGGGGAGCACATTGGCCAAGCAATGGTGGTGACTCATCCACATGACTGACACAGACAAAGGATCTACAGTCTGAGATACAGGATCTCAGGATAAATCCTGAGGGGATTTGACTACCTTATCAGAGCCAAAAGCTACAACTCTTGTTGCATAGGTCTTACTTTATCTTGGTCTTAACCATCCAGCAGAAAGGTATAAAAACGAGATATAAGGGGTGAAGCCATGTTGGTATGCTGGGCTGTAAAGGGCTCAGGTCAACAACTTCTGACATTTCCAGTCCTGTGGATGACCCACTACAATTATGGCGTAATGGACTACATTGAATATTTTGCTGAATTCAGACACGTACAATATTTAAATGACAATGAAATACCTTTCTCTGACAAAACAGAAAAAGGGGATACAAAGGAATGATCATTTTGTGTCTGTACACTCAAAATAGGATAGATATACAGCTACATTATTTTAATTCAATGAATAAGATTTGTTCTAATAGTGTTTGTGGATGGGATGTCATGTCTGCATCTTGTACAATGAATAACCACTGAAACAACAGCGTGCAATGTATTTATTATTGAAACTGTCCTACTGGTTGGTTTTGAAGCTGTCTCATTGCTATTTCTCAATAAAATTATTTAAAAAATAAGAAGGTTACTGTTAATTCTTCCTTTGTTTCTGTGATGTTCTTGTATCTATGAGATATTCTTTGCTAAAACATCGGGCAGTGTTTAAATTAGGTTTAAAAATCCAGGTGTATCATTAGACTTAAAAATTCAAGTGTATTTGTATGCATACGATTAACAAGGAGATGGGAGTGTAGTGGCCTTGTTTTCTTCGAAATGAGATTAATGATATTTAACAATTCTAATACATAACAAAGACATAAAGTAGCAGAGCCTCAGGTGGCAGAACTTTTAACCATCATAGTCAAATGTACAGAAAAACATTACTAACAATATTTAGTAAATACAGTAGCTAATAGATAAGACTGAATAAAAAGCTAGAACATGATGTGAAAGCTAAACTTGAGGTTGGAGGGAATTGAAGATGACTACAAAACAGATATCAGAGAAAAATTCTTTCTCAGTGGAACCTGAATGATATGTACAGATTTGGGGGAAAAAAGGACAAAATTTTAGAAACAAAATTAAAAGTTAAGAGCAGATGATTACATCAAAAAAGCCTCCTTTGGCAGCAAAATGAGCAGCATGGTGTCTGTCGTTGTCAAATGTATTCACGAGACCTCCTCTTTCCAATATTCCCCGGACTATTTCTGTCACCCCTTCTCTTGAGGCCTCCATTAAAGCTGTGCGACCTGTGGACTGCAGAGGGGACAGATCAAATGTTGCTCATGTTGTATGTGTCACATTAATCAACATACTCAGTATACAGATGGTTTTAATTCATTTGACTTTCACCTTATACTGACAAATGTAGTTCTTCTTGGTTTTGTTAGTCTCCTACAATGAAGGAGCATTAATCAAACACAACGGGTTAATTGCTAAAATGTAGAATAGTTAAGCTTACTCTGACTATCAGAAAGGCTCACATGCTAAAACATGCATTTCTTGAAGAGGAAGCAGAGTAAAAAGGGAAGGCTGAGGGTCCAAGATGTGCTAACTAAGGTCACAGGTGTTTTCTAATAAGAAAATCTACTTTTTGCATCATCAGGAAATGACAATCATAAGAAAAGTAAGCAAAATTAGCCAGTTGCCGAAAGGAAACGAAATGTGTCTGAGAAACAGCAGAGCTACATATTTTTGCTTCAAGAAGATAAATTTTTATCAGGCATCCGTTATACAGTTTCTACTACCTTTAAGAATTTTTGACACTATGTACAATAAATATGAATTTTCCAAACATAATTCAGAAATAGATTGTAAAATTGTGGCAATACAAACACAATAAAAGTATATAATTTTCAAGCATTTTGAGTTAAACTGAAAAATCTATAAGCTAACAGGGTATTTTCCCCATATTTAAATGCAAAAATTGTACTATAGCTAAATTATACTATGAATAAAGAAGTATTTATAGTCGCAAGAATAGTCATACTGAGTTGATAGCATTTGGATCGGCTCCTCTTTCCAAAAACATCAAGCACATCTCTCTAATATCATGGGCTTCTTCACAAGCCCTAAGGAACACTGGTTTTCCATCATAGGTAGAATTGTTGACATCCGCACCATGTTCAAGAGCAATCAAAGCACAGCGATAATGCCGCTTAGTAGGCAAGATGCAGTAAAATAAAATGCCTGAAGAAAAGCAGAATTTCCAAAGAATAATTAATTAGCTAACTATTTGCATATTTGAATCTGCTAGGGAAAAAAAGGGTAACTTGAAACCCATATATAGCTAAAGATAGCAGAGCAAAGGCACATCTGCCTTGGACTCTCCTCTGAAATCAGCTAAAACACCAAGACAGAAAAAGAGGAAATCTTTGAGGTAAAAAATAGCTACCACTTAGTATTACAGGATCTGTTTAGAGAAGGATTGCAATGCTCACATGGGAGTCCTTGGCAATCCTGAGACTTGACATTTTATTTTATTTTTACTTATTATTATTATTATTATTATTTTGTATTTTAAGGAAGGGTCTACAGGGTGTTCAGGGTCTCACTACTAGATCCTACTTGTAGTGATCCACCTGTTTACAGCCTCCCACATGCTGGGATTACAGGCACACGCCACCATGCCCAGTCTCAATTGCCACGGGGACAGAGCCAGAGCGGCAGGCCCAGGAATCAAATCAGGCCCTTGTGCCTGCTTGCAGGCATTTTAATCTGCTGAACTATTTGGTCGGCCCTGGAATTTTATATTCCATATCCCAAGTATCCCTTAGAAATGCAGAGCTATATGCACCAGAGGTCTTGAACCTGTATTTAACATTTTAAAAATTTATTTATTTATTTATTTGGTGCAGGGTCTTTCTATGCAGCTTAGACTCACAGTTATCCTCCTGTTTCACCCTCTTTAGCTTTGGGATTGCAGGTGTGCACCAACACACCTGGTTTTGGTGTCCAGTGCACCTGGTGTTTTAGGGTGGCATGGCCTCCAGTACTGGGGATTGAACCCAGGTCCTTGCACTTCCCAGGCAGGCACTTAAGACTGTTGACCTAGCTTCCCAGCCTCCCATATTTGTAAAGAGCAGACTCACAATGTAATAGAAAGGAGATGAAAATTAGAAGACAATCGTCTTTGCCATTTTGGTAGATCATTTGTTTTACCAAAGAGAGAAAAATGTTAAATTCCTCTACTAAAACCTGTAATATGTGGGCTCTCAACATAACTCACAACAGAAATGCATGATATATCAGAGGTATTGGTTACAGTTTTGAAAGAGAATGTTTTTGAAGTATTGTGTAAACAACCAAACTCTAAATTGACTTTCTCATAATCTCACTCCAAAAGGAGGCTTCATCCAAAGAAGGACAATGAGTAAAAAGAAATTAGCATGTGATCTTTGAAAAAAGACACAATCAGAAAGGTGAGCAACAGATAGCAAAATTCATGTACAAAGTATACTCTAGAAAGTTACATCAAGGAAAATTATCGATCAAGTCTGTTTATGTTAACAAAGAAGTTAAATAGACATGCAGTAGACCAAGACCAAAAAGGGCTAAAGAAAACAGAAGATGGATAGGAGGAAAAGATTAAACTGAGTCGAAGAGTTTAGTAAAGAAACAGTAGAAGAAAATTCACCAAAGAAATGAAAGTCAAATTACAAGCAAATAAAAGGGCAGCAGTCAGTCAGGGACAAGCAAAAAAAACTAAGACACATGTAATTGGGATGGGTTAAGAGGTGAAATAGTCTACAGAGACAAAGAAGGTTCAACATCTATGTAATTGGTTTCCAGTGATAAAAGGCCAAAGGGAGCTGAAAAATTAGATAGAGGTATAATGAAAGACTTTCTTAAAGTGAAAAATCTAAATCTGAAGATTAAAAGGTTCTTGAGAAAAACTAAGAACAAATAATAAGATAAACTGAGAAAAAGCCTGGAAAATAAAGTTTTCTATGAGTATCCAGGCAAAACTTTGGCTTATATTTAATACAGAAAAGTCAGGCCAGCTGCAGCAACATTATATGCTAGAGGATAATTAAAGAATCTCTACAATGTCATTGGGGAATAAAATGGGAAAATTTTATACCCAATCAAGTTGTTGGTCATACATAAAATCAACAACAGACATATTTTTCTTTTTGGTGGAACCAGGGATTGAACTCAGGCCCTTGCACTTGCCAGGCAAGTGCTTATTCTACTGAGCCATCTCCCCAGCCCCAGACATTTAGAAGATTAAGGGTGCATGAAATCACAGGCATAAGCCCTAATGAATGGACCAAGGTACTTCCATGGTAAAACTCAGTATACCGATACAGAAACTGAAAACATGGACTAAAGTAATTCTTTCAATATAAAACCAAGTCACCTTAGGAATTCTAGACAGAAAAAAGAACACTGAAATGCATTATAATGTAGAAATAATGCAATTTAACATAGACTTGGAGGGAAGAAAGAAAAGGACAGAGAACAGAAACATTTTTTTTTTTTTTAGAATCAGTGCTGGAGACTGAATACAAGGAGATGAAGCAAAGGGTAGGCATTATTTAAACATATAAAAGGAATCACTGAAATAAGTGGTTAAAACCAACCGTAAACTTGGGTGGTGGTGGGGAGGTACACCAGATGAAAGTTTATTGTACTATTTTAACTTTCAGTGTTAAGTGCAATAAGCCAGGCAAACAAGTTGAAATATTATATCTTTTCTCTAATATGAGAAGCCCAAAATATAAATAAACAGCAAAAAAAAAGTAGATCTTTTTCAAAGGGGAAGGGGAATAAGAAGTGGAAGGGAGCAAAGGAAGGGAAAAAAGACTAAAAAAGGAGATAATGGAAGAAAACAATGGAAATAAATGAAACTTTTTCAAATGGGAAGGGGATCAAAAGTTGGAAGCAGCAAGGAAGGCTAGTAGGGGAAGGAGACATGAAGGACCTAAGAAATGTTACACACTTGGATAAATTCCTCACAATAAATATAATCATTATACGCTGAAGTGTGTGTTGATAAAAAGAGAGCAACAAATCCAGATGAATTTGAACATGTGGAAGGATATAAAGAGGTATCAGGTTAACCATCAAGAGAACTAAAAACAGAAAATGCAGAAAGGAAGAAAATACATAGAATAAAATAAATCAAAGAATATATGGACCATATAAAATGCCTTTATAAATACCTTCATGTATTAAGTACCTTGCATTGGGCCAGCAAGATAGCTTGGTGGGCTAAGCACCTGCTTAGGCAAGCCTAGGGACGGGGGTTTGATCCTCGGCACCACATGCTATACCAGCCCCGCCCCCCAGGTGTGCTGAGCTGGCCACTGAGACTGGGCATGGTGGTGCTTGCCTGTAATCCCAGTGATGGGAAGGCTGAAAACAGGAGGATCACTATGAGTTTGAGCTGCAGAATGAGACCCTGTACCAAATACATAAAAAGAAAAAAAGTACACTGCATCTATATACTATGAAATAAATGACGGTTCTAAAGTCAACCTGATGGGATATCTAAATAAATTTAACGTGGATGAATTTTATCATTACAATTAAAAGATATAACTTATATGAAATAAAAACCAATATATATTTCATATAAACAGATGTACATAAAGATCAGTTCTCCAGAACAAAGAAAGATGGGCCTGAGGATACAGCTCAGTGGTAGAACATTTGCCCAACATCCACAAGGCCCTGCATTTTACCCCTAGCTTCCCCACCCCCAGCAAGGAAGATGGCAATCGAAGACATAGTTGAAAATAGAAAATCAAAGAACAGGACATAGACAGCAAGACTGCCAGAAACAGCCACAACATAACAATAAGTACAAACTAAGCATCATCAGACAAGGCTAATTTTCAGGCCCTCTTTAAGACACTTAGGAAATGGGAATTTTGTAATGATGACACACAACTGTTAGTCTACGTAGGCCCAGCTTAGGCGTACAGCGTTATCTCCTAGCCTTTAAAAGATCCATGTAACTAGCTCAGTGTTTGCTTATCCTTTAAAAACAAATGTACACAGAGTCCCACACCTGTCACCAAGAAAGGAGGCCTGCGGCAGAGCGATACCATAGGATGAGCGAAACAGTAAGCATCTGCCAGTCAACGATGCGCAAGGTGAGCCAGGCTCAAGAATGGACGGGGAAAGACCAGGGTCACAGGCCAACCATGAACCGCCCAGCACTGACTAACAGGGCTTCCTTTCATGTTTTCTATTTTTCCTATAGAATTTGTCTAATTGCTTGTTTCACAATATTTATCTTCCAGAACCAGAATAAGGTTGATAGTGATTTGAATGAGCATAAACATTAATTATATGACTGTTGCCTCTGCTACAAATATTTAGGTGAGCTTGTCTTATATTTTCATTTGACTTTTAAAAAAATGTATAATTTTGATCTCGTTATGATATAAAACTTCTCAATTTTTTTGGTGACTTATATCTGTGCTCCAGTGCAGTGTTTCTCAATACTGACTTTTTAAAACTCCAAGTATATTTGATGCCATGTGGAAAAACTATTTAATGGTCAAATAAATTTGAAAAAATGTTATCGTCTTTGGTCTGAAACAAAGAAACATGTCTGAATTTATTAAATGATTTTCTAATCAACTCAACAGTGGAACCACTCTGCATGGAGCATTTCTTTTTATTTATTTATTTTTCTGATACAGGGTCTTGCTATGCAGCTAAGATTCATAGTGATCCTCCTATCTCAGCCTCCCCAGTGCTGGGATTACAGGCCTGCACCACCACACTGGCTTCAGGGCCAGCATAGTGCAGGATGGCTCAGCACGTGGTACCTGGGATTGAACTTGCATCCTTGTGCTTTCCAGACAGGTGCTTAGACCACCAAGCTATCTCCTAAGCCCATGTGTGGAGCTTTTCTTAACTTTCCAGTGATTCCATGGCCCATGGCACACACTTTGGTGAATGGTACTGTGTAGAACTTTCAGAACCTTCTATTGTTCTAAGATTTAATCTTCTAAAGTACACTTGACTTCTAAATGCACCTGCAATTTATTGTGCTATATATGGTCATATTAAATAACTTTTCTTTGCTCTCAACTCTTGCTTTAAGCAAGTCATCTGTCAAATATCAAGTCTGGAGAGAATTTCAAAAGTAGTCTTTGCTCCTGTCCGAAAATATTAACATTATAAAATGGGATTCATTTCCCCAGTGCTAAGCTGACATTAACGGCACTGCACTTGCAACAATTTTCTTGGACAACTGATTAAATCTACCAATTTATATTAAGCCTGGTGGTACTTAGCATGGTGTATTCCTTGAGGCGGGGTCAGATCTTGCCTGAACCTCAAGTTATTTATGAAAGAAATTCCAGGCCGTGGTCTTGACACGGAGCTAAGGAGAACAGAGGACGTGAAAGTATTTGCAACTGAATACTCCTCCAAATGCTGTGACTAATATTTCAAGTCATATCCAAATACTGTAAACACTTGTCCTAGAAGACTACTTGGCTACTCGGGAGGCTGAAATAGCAATATCAAAAGTTCAAGACTAGTCCAGGCAACTTAGGGAGATCCTATCTCAAAGTAATGAAAAAGGGCTGGAAATGTAGCATTTCCCCCGTGTGGGTATTTTCTCAAACTGGGTTCAGTTCTCCAGTATGAGAAAAACAACTGATTCTCAAAAGTTATAGTTAATTCCAGAATCTACCTTTCTCCTCTTAAATTCTAAAATGCAAGTCCCTTTTTAATATCAGGTTGCTATTGAGAAGGAATAAAGCTTGTCTGGGGTTCTGAGTCTAGTACTACTAAAGCTTCTAATAGGTATGGAATTTTTTTTAAGCAGGATTTTATATTTTGTAGTAAGTGATTATGATTATTTAATAACAGTCAATTATGTGTAATGTTGAAAATTGTCTTCATTTAAAAATAGCCACTAAAGATCAGTTCAATTTGAATTTTCTTTTTAAATGATAAAGCTCTCAGAACTGTTTTCCCTGAGATATACCTAAACTGTTTGCAAATAATGAAGAATCACTATCCTTCAGTATAGGAATGAGAATAGAGCCTTTCACTTAAAACCACAAATAATTTACTTCTAAATTTGGACAACAAAACAAAATTCCCCTCATACATCCATTTTATGGCAATCTCCTACACAGAGAGTTACATCCTGTCAGATAGAATATTGGTATATTTTACCTTTTCCTTCATTATCAACTATGGTCATATCAGCCTTTGCTTTGGCTAATATTTCCATTGACAGTTCATGGCCCAGCTCAGCAGCCCTCATGGTTGGGGTACAGCCCTTATGGTCTTGCACATCAGGGTGAGCTCCGAGTTCAAGGAGAAAGGTGACCATATCGACGTCATTGGACACTGAGGCTAAGTGCAGAGCACTGAGACCATCCACGGGGTCTGTGAAGTTGATCAGCTGAGGATATCCAAGCCTGGTCAGCTTCTCTATCTGCTTCTTGTTTTTGTCCCGGACACACTGAAGAACTTTGTAGATCTGCAGGTTCTCAAGTCTCTTATCTGCTAAAGCCATGTTGGACCAGCTTCTCAGAGACGTTTGTTTTCCAGACTAAAGCAAAAACTATGACAGCAAAAAACAAACAAACAAACAAACAAACAAACAAAAAACACGACAAAAAAAGAAAGAAATGGAAATCAGTATCACAGGGCTAATTGTATATTTTTATTAATTAAAAGTATTTTAAAGCATATATTCCTTGGAAAAGTGGCTGTTTTTTTTTAGGAAATGATATTCTCAGTTTATTACAACTGATTTCAAAAAATTGATATTATATATAAACTTAAAAATGTTCAGTTGGCATAAAGTTGAAGTATTTTACAAATCATAAGCAATACTATTTCGTGAGGTGAGTATTTTTTATCTCCTCTAGCTACCCCTCTTTCAAACAGCTTTCCCATCTTACCCAGGGAGACAGGGAGGGGAACAGTCAGCAAGTTCCCACCTGGGAAGATTCCTATCTGTACTATGCTTCCCATCATGCAGAAACCACAAAAGCCTTATAGTTTTGAAAGATCAGACAATGTATGGAACTCCAAGGTGCTTATTTTATGTAACACACTTCTGAGCTGGGAGATACCAAAGGCGCGATGAAGGGTTCCTACAGTATCCTAAGTGCAAAGGAGGGACTCAAACAGGTTTAAAGAAAATGATGAATTTTCATACACAATTAAATTATGCACATTCTAGCATATAATTCCGTTTCTTTTATTGTTTATGAAAAAAGCAAAGTTTTGGATTGCATAGTGGGGATAGTGGGTACACCCAGCTTGCTTTACTTCCTTTATTTGTTTCTGGGGAAAGAACTGATTATCATATGAGGCAGCCATGCTTGGTAGTGGGAATGAGACTGTCCCTTCTGTGCTGCTTTACGGGAAGGGCTCTGGGACCTGGGCCCTGCTGTTTGGAGTGAACCATCTCTCTCCTGGTACACAAGATTGCGCAGGCATATTTTCAAGGCAGATATCAGGTGTTATATTCTTCTGCCAGAACTATGTAAAAAAGACTATTTCTGCCAACGTTATCAAACAGCGGGATATGGAGTGGGGCTACAGGTTATATTGTAGGCATTCCAGGGAAAGCACATGTTGGAAAGAGGGAAAGGAACTCAGACTGTGGCATCAGTCTTACCCCGGGTCCCACCACGCCAGAAGTCACACTCCACATTACACGCACAGGCAGAAGCTGAGTTCTCAACATGTGCGGTGCAAAGATTCTATCTTACTGTAACATCTGCCAGCACAAACCTGTGCTGTGAGTTGCACAGCAGTGAGTTGCACTGACGACTACTGGCTCCCTCTTTAGAGCTGTTTCTCTGGGCAACCAGTCAGTCTTCACGGCTGTTTCTATTCTACAGCACCGCCCACTCGTCCTAGATATCCATTGCTAGCACCCCTTTTCTATGCGGTTCCTCACTGTAGCAGTGCCCAGGGCCAGGTTGCCAGAACTCTGTCTGATCTTCAGTAACTCCCCTGGTGGCTCAGCCCATCTCCTGACCTTCCACCCAATTTCCAGGTTTTGATCGTTTACGCTCAAGTTTATACAGGCATTGCTGACTGCCCAGAGTTCAAAAGTGATATATTTAGCCAGGCGTGGGGCTGTGTTCTTGTAATCTCAGCTACTTGGGAAGCTGAGGCAAGAATATCATAAGATCAAGGACAATGTGGGCAAGGCAGCAAGACCTAGCTTCAAAATAAAACTAATAAGGGGTAGGAATATAGTTCAACATTCCCTGAGTTCAATATTCAGTATCACCCAAGGCTGTATATTCACTGTCTGTCCTTCATTCTCATAGGGATGTCAAAAATAACACATCCAGAGTAGAGTTCTTTTTCTTTCGTTTGCTTTTAGTTTTCCCAAGTAATGCAAAGCCCAGGGACTGCTGTGCTACACTCCAAGTTCCCTTTGTTTTCGGTGCTGGAGACTGAACCTAAGGCCTTTGCAACAAGCTACAAAATCTTTAAAACACTTTTTGTTTCAAACACAGGGTCTTGCTAAGTTTCCCTGATTTGTCGCATGTGCAACCTTCCAGTGTTAACTTTCTGAGTGGCTGGGAGAGCAGGAGGTGTCACTGTGCATTTGCTGTCACCATCCTTTTCCCCATTTCCCCCAATTTCTCATAATGGCATCAACCTCCAACCACTTACTCAGGTGAACACCAGAGTGATCCTCCAGTTTTTCTTTCCCTCATGGACTCTTTAAATTCAGCAGGAACCACATCCAGAAAAACTGCATCCATTTGCCTCCAAGATACATCCTAACACTCCTGTGCTGCTGCTATCTTAGACTGAAGCATTGCCACAGCCTTCTAACCTGTCTCACTGCTTCCACAACAAGCCAACATATTTCATCCTCCAAAGAGAAAAATATGTTTTTTTTTTCAATAAAGATCTTGTATTGTCTCATTAAAATATCACAGACCGGCTTTACAATCCAGGAGCTTGCTTCTGTGGCTGGATTAACTCTTGGGTCTTACCCACTTGGCTGCTGAACTGTTCCCTCTTCAGGAACACAGACAGCACCCAAAAACTGTCTGACATCCTTGTTTTTGACTCCTGGGACTTGCTGAGTCAAAGCAGCTGAATTTGAAACAAGCTCAGTGTCATTCCCTTCAAGGATTAGCTCATCTTTCTGGGCTTGAGATAACTAAGCAAGCAACACCTGCCCTCATATGAACTCAGCAAATGTAGTCTTCACCCAAAAAATTCCGAATTTCCACAAGAGACCCATTCTCCTGAATAACGACATTGATGGCGAAGTGATCACACACAGACCTCATCTCGTAACAGAAGCCCAGAGGGCCCCCCTTGGTCATGTTCTGTGCATGGCTATCGATTGTGCGGATGGTCACCAGCTCCTTTCTGTTCCCCCACCATCTGTCAACCCTGAGCCTCTTCTTATCTTCTCAAGGAGACCGAGTTCTACATTGACATGGTTGAAGTCCCGCCGCAGGGCTCCTCAGGGGGGCCTTCACAGTAATGGTGTGTCCTTTCAGAGTGATGTCAACATTTTCTGGAATGTCGACAGTCTGAGTGCTAAGAATGGTCTTCGGTCTCGTGGGAGATGCGCCAAAGAGAGAAAAATATTTTAAAGTGTTGATCAGATAAGACCCAACAGGGTTCAGTCCCAACATTTTAGCATATTTTTAAACATGAAGGGTGTACTGAAAAGCTGTGCATCTACCGCTGAGATCTTACCAAGAATAGCTGACTGGCTTTATCACCTATCTATCCATCCCTTTATCCATTAATCCAGTGCTTTCTTTTGGATTGATTTCTCAATAAACTGCAGACATATGCCCACTTACACATACTTACCTGGAGTTCAGTAGTATATTCATGTTTCTTTTTAATATTTTGAACATATAATAAAGTACATAAGTATTAAATGTGCCACCTCATTTGTTTGAAAAATACACACACCCATGTAGCTGAAACTCCTACCAAGATGTAGAATGTTACCTTTGGAACCAAAAGTGCTCTAAATGTGCTTGATAAGTTCTGTGCTGTAGTCAGAACAAACCCAAATGCTGTGACCTAGGAAGAACTCTTCCCTACCCTTTGATCTTAGTTCACCCTACTCACCCTGATTTAGTGATCTCTGGCCACTGGCCACACTGGCTTTCTTTCTTTCTTTTTTAATCTTTTATTTATTTGGTACAGGGTCTTACTATGCAGCTCAGACTTGTAGTGATCCTCTTATATCAGCCTCCCCAGTGCTGGGGTTACAGGTGTGCGTCACCACGCCCCGTTGTGGTGGCTGGCAAGATGTGCCAATGTTTCTGGGGACTGCAGGACATGTGGTACTGGGGATCAAACCTGGGTCCTTGCGCTTGCCAGGTGCTTAGACCACAGAGCTATCTCGCCTACCCTTTCTTTCTGTTTATGAACAAGATCTTCTTCCTTTGCCCTGGAAGTTTGCACTTCCTGTAGCTTCTGCCTGGGAGTGCTTTTTTGCTTTGAATTGCTGTTAAATTTCAGCCACTATGTTACTTCTTCCCCTTGTTTTCTCTGAAGCACTTATTGTCTGAAACTATTTTAATCAACTTGTGCATTGCATCCCTCAAGCACTGGGTCATATTTATCCTTTGTGGAACAGAAACTTCAGTTTGCAAATATTAACATTACTTCTCTGTAACCTAAAACCTGATTTAGGTGAGGCATTCCATAAATATTTTTTTTCATTAAATTAAGACCAAAAGTTAAAATCTTTGAAAATAAGGAACCAAAAAAACTGTCACATTCCTTATTTGAATTATTGCATACTTATGTCTGAGCCAGGATGTTCCTGCAGGGTTCCATACTGCTCAGGTTAGTGTAGACAGTAAATTTTGAGGCAGCTGAGTTAGAATCCACAAGGTCACATATAATTCAGGAAGTCAGGAGAGAGGGCCGAGCCTGGTCTACAGGAGAGTTTTGCAGAGTCCTTCAGTGGTAGTTGGGCAGCTGAGACAGAGAAGTCAGGACAGCACCCACCGAAGTCCAACCTGCTGCTGTCTTATCCATTTTTGCTCCTCCGTCTGTTTTCCCTGTATGCACCACTGCGGGGATATCAGTGATGGTTGTGTGGTTTATGGCTTCCATGTCCTACTTTCTGTCATTGCTTTCTTCCCTTCCTATCTTCTTATAATGCATGATGGACTGCAAACCCAACAGGGCAGATTGCTAACTCACTGTATAAACAGGCTCTGTGGGAAGCCTTGAGGTTGCCTGAGTTATCCTCTTGACCTTTGCTGCATGACTTGGTGACATTTATTTCAGCTGCTGTTTATGGCAGTGACATATTGCATATGTACCTATGTCACCTATTGCATATGTACCTATGTCACCTATTGCATATGATAAGATATGACTAAATAGCTTATTGATTGTACTGAATCAATGCCACCTCATTTGTGAGGACGCAGACTTCCTAATCAGAGACTTCAATGTTGTCTCTGATGTCATTCATCCCAAGCAAAAGCATTGGCAGCATGTGACACTCTGAAATCAAGTGACGACAAAGAAACCAGCAGTCTGGGAGTCAGTTTATTACGGATTATACCTCTCCCAGTTAATGCAAGGAAAGAGCAACATTCTGTGCCATCCTTCACTATCAACTACTAAGACTCACTCCTAGAGCTTCCTGAAACCTGGAAATACAAAGAGAGTTCTTGCTCACTAGCTCTAGGTATCAAGACCCCGGGTTACCTTGATGTGCATGCACTGATCATCTAGATGGAATTTCAGAGGAAACAGAATGTCTTAACTTGAGTTTCATGATTGGATCTGAAAGCTCTGGAATTTCATTAAAGCCTGTGAGAATGCATAAAGCCAGATGTACTTTTTCCTCTAGGAAGAGCGACTCCTAGAGCTCATTAAATTTTCAAAAGAGTCTGAGACTCCGCAGGTTCATTAGCAAGGGAGATGGAGGAGGCCCACAGCCCTGTAGTAGAAAGGTGCAAGTTTAAGGGGAGAATATACCGTTACTCATTCTCCTCTACAGGGTATTGGTGCCAACTGGCTGCTTGTACCTGGGCTGGTAACCCACCTAGTCTGTAGCTCATTTTCTTCCTCTGCGATCTGGGGGTCACGTAGTACTTATCTCATGGGGTGGATGAAAAGGAAAAGTGATGAATCTTGCAAAATACTCGTTAGCAAAGTCCCACGGTACAGGGTTGCTGTGAATAAATTAAAGCCTCTGTGGATTTCTGATTACCCATAAGCCACAGTTTACATTCTGGGGGTTCTCTACCGTGCCTTTCAGTTTTGTTAGAAAAATCTGGAGGGAACAGCACTGGGCAGACATTTAATTTCAAAGGCTGCAAGGCAAAACCAAGGCGCTAATCTCACCTCTTAATCTTGGGGGCGATCGTGCGCCTCGGATCTCAGGGAAACAATGCCTGTGGGCCCGTGAGGGCGTCTCCCACGGCCTGGCTCGTTCTCTGTCGCTCGGCGCGACCTTTGGCAGTCCGGCTTGGGCGCCCAGAACTGATCGGCGTCTCTCGGAGCAGAGAGGGCCGTCTGGTGCGGGCGCAGCAGGGAAGGGCGCGCATGTCCATGGGTCCCGGGCCGCAACCGGTGAGCGTGCGGCCTGGCCACGCAGGGGCGGGGCGGGGACCCCGAGACCCCGCCGATTGTGAGCTTCGGCCACGCCAGGCCCAGTTGCCAGGTAACCAACCAGGTGCGCTGTCGGGCGGGGCTCCCCTTAAAGGCCAGGGGCCTCACCCATGCTCCCAAGAGAGCCAAAAAGGCACTCTCTGCAGAATTCCACCCTTCATCCATCTTCCTGTCCCATGACCTGCTCTCTATCAAAACATAGCCTAATTAGAAAAGTAAAGTTGCACATGGTAAAAAGTACCCGCTCCAAAACAAATAAAAATAAAATATACAATAAAATCTCTCCAAACATAAAATTAAATGAGAATGCAACAAAAAGAACAGTAAAAGTGAATCTATTTTGAACTTTCTTGAAAAGCCTCCCGGAAATATTCTCTCCATACTTTATGATTTATAATACTTTATATTTAAGCATAAATAATAAATACACAGGAAGACAATTTTATTTCTCAGTCAACAAATGCTCTCTACCATCCCTTGCTCTCCCACTGTACATTCTTGGAGTAAAATGTTGGCAGTTTTGCGTAGGTGAATGTAAAACGTGTATGCTCTTTATTTACATATTTGTTTCCTTATTTATTTGTTCAGTGCTTAGGATTGAACACAGCAGTGCACTATCACTGAGCTATCACCTTTCTGTTTTTGATTTGAGGCAGCATCTTGGGAGACTGGTAAACTGCCCAGGCTGGCCTGGAACTTCCTATCCTCACGTCTCTGCCCCTGATGACAAGAGTGCATCACCCTCACTGGCATATTTGTTTTTGAGAGACAGTGTCTCTTCATGTTGCTCAAATTCACCTTCAATTCCTAGGTTCAAGTATCCTCTGAATCCTTTTGCTTCAGCTTCTGAAGTAGCTGGGACTACACATGTACCTCTACTCCTGGCGTTTAACAAAACAAAAGTGTGTAATTGCTTTTAATTAAAAGCAATAATTTAAACCAAACTGTACTGCTTTATACTCAAATTTAAAAATGTTGGAAACATTCACAGAGAGAGAGAGAGAGAGAGAGAGAGAGAGAGAGAGAGAGACAGAGAGACAGAGAGACAGAGAGACAGAGAGACAGAGAGACAGAGAGACAGAAAGTACGTACCGTGAAACATTCAAAGAACACAAGCATATTATGACTAAAGTCAAAGAAGGGTTAAAGGACCTGCGAGATAGTTCAGGGGACTAAGTGGCTTCATAGGCAAGCTCATGGACTGCAGTTTGAGCCCCAGTGTCATATGCCGCCCCCATCCACACCTCTGTGTGCTGAGCAGGACACTGAGACCCTGTGTGGTGGTGCACGCCTGTAATCCCAGCCCTGGGGAGGCTGCAAACAGAAGGCTCACTGGGAGCCTGAGCTGTGTAGTGAGACCCTGTACCAAATACATTTAAAAGGTGGAGAGGGGTTAAAAAAAAGGAAACAAGGAGAGAAGGCAGAATGGGAGAAAGAAGGGAAAGGAAAGAGAGGAAGAAAGAAAGAGAGGGAGAGAGGGAGGGAGAGTGAGAAGGAGAGAATATGGTTCACCCCACAATGCTGAACTGCCTTCTCTTACTTGGGTCTCAATTTGTTTCTGTTTGAGGCAGAGAGATGTCAATAGTAGTCTTGCTTAATTCTGAAGAATGTTCTTAACATTATTTGAAGATCTGGTAGGTTTCGCAGGAAATAAATATATTTCAAAGACTGATAGGAATTGATTAGTAGTGTGTATTACTACTGTTGGCCTCCATTAGAATAATTGGTGCATATGTTTTGGATAGAAGTTGGGTAAATGTTGTTGGTTGGATGAGGATTTCCAGATAACGATGTGAGAAACTCTTTCCCTGAAAGGCAAAGTCTTCTTAAATTGACTTTTTTACTTTTTTCTTAAGACAGTTGGTAATAGAGTTGTCAGAACTTGGATGACACAAATTAAATGTAGGGGGAAAAGGTATTAAACATTTCCCCTCTATAAAACAAATCTACACAGAGATAACAGAAAGGCAACATAAGTTCTCCTGCAGACTAATGCACTGGCTAAATCCTCTACTGCTATCTTCTATCTTTATCTGGTATTGAATGAGATTTTATTTTCATATTATAACTATTCGAAGAGCTATACATTTAATACTTCTTACATAGTGTCAAGCTTTCTTGGTAAAATGGAAGTGATTCTATTGAATTCCCTCTCACAATTTTATAAAAATTGTGATGCAAATCCAGATAAACTGCTTTAGTTACCAGAGGTTTTACATTCTTATTTACTGGCCTGAAAGGCAAGCCATCGAGTAGCTCTTTCTTAGCAACAAATATATGGGTTAATTTAAATTAAGAAAATTTAAATGTGAATTAGTGTAGCATGCCAATGGGGGTGTTGGTTTATTAATTGGAAATAAAATATGTTAGTTTTTATGAATTGTTTCATAAGATTGGGACACAATTAGTAAAGTTGTGCTACTGTTATTGTCTTATTTTCAAAATTATTTACAAATTAATCACTTATAAAACCCATGTACATTTTAATATTGTTTCCCTCTAAAAATTAAATCACTCAATATGACTTTATGTGATTGAGAAGCCTATTTACCATTTTGTTTTGCACGGTAAGTTAAGACTGTGACTGCGACTGTTTAAGGTGACATATATTGATAACAGATATTGCGTTGTTTCTTTGTAGAAAAGAAAATGTGTCAGACAATTTTGAAATGAGAAATAAATTCATTGACAACATAGAGCTCTACTTAATATTTCTTTTAAGGAGTCACTTTGAGTCTTTCATACGGTAGCAATTATAAAGCATCTCTTGAAGAGTGACTACTGAATAACTATTCCTTTAAAATATGAACATTTTATGAATAAATACATTCTGATCAGCATCTTCACTTTCTTTGGCTTATACCGAAGCTTCTCCAAGATTACACGGGGCGGGGGGATTGTGATTCTGAAATAAATACCTCAAAACACCTCTTGCTCCCCAGTGACTTTTTATTATTGATACGTGAGTACTGGCTCTCCTTGATTCTCCTGTCTGTGCCTAAAAATTCTCCATCTGTAACCTGTAATATTTAGAAGAACAGGGGCATTCATTATTCTTTAAGAATGGAGAGACGAGAACTATGAAATTTTCTGACCTGCTTTAAAAAGATGCATTGTAAATCACAATTCTTACTAAATATTGATCTCTTCATGTTTTCTACCTCAAAAAAGGTCAGTTTTCATAATTTGTAATTTAATATGTAATCTTCTGTGTTCTGTTTTTAAATGTATTGCCCTATATCTTCATTTAGTTAATTTGTAATTCTTTGAAATTTCCCTGTGAGGTTATATCTCCTTCTTTATTCATAGGCACCCACAATACATGCATTTGTTTGTCCTCTAACCAAAATCATGAAGGGTTTTCTGTTTCCTAAATTCTTTCAAAGAAGCCACTTTGATGATATAGCTCTTGTGTTTTCCATTTCATTAAATGAAGTGACATTTTTCACTAATTTTCTCCTACTGGCATCTTTAATTTTATTTGCTCTTTTAAAATTTCTTTGTATAAAAGCTGTTTCTTTTTTCTGTTATATGTTCTTACTATAGGCACTGAAGCTAGTAAGACTTTTCCTTGCATCTAGTTTCTTCGGTGTCTCTTAAATTTTGTATTGTGTTCTTTTAAATAATTCCTGGAAGAGTACTCATACTAGTTGTGATTCTCTCTTTGATGAAATTATAGAAGATGCTTCTTAATTTCCAATACTTGAACTATTGGTCGCTTTTTTATTACTTTTATTGAGAAACAAATAGAGACAGTTTCCAAACTGATTAGTAGGACAGTCTCATTAATTAATACATTGCATATTGTTGTCTTTAAAAATGTTTTACTTCGATATTTTTTATTTATTTTTGGTACTGGGGATCGAACTCAGGACCTTGTGCTTGCCAGGCAGGTGCTTATACCACTGAGCTATTTCCTCTGCCCCTGCATATTGTTGTCTTCATAGTGGTTATTCATAGTACAAGATGCAGGCATGATATCCTGTCCAAACACTATTAGTACAAATCTTTCTTCTCATTGAATTAAGAGAAAGTAGCTGTATATCTATCCTATTTTATATACACAGATACAAAATGGTTCTTCATTTGTATTCCCTTTTTTTTTTGTTTAGTGTTGTCAGAATACCATTGCCATTTAAATATAGTAGGTGCGTGAATTCAGCAAAATAACCCATTACAGTCCAGTAGTCCGTGATAGTAGTGGGCTATCCATAGGACTGGCAATGTCAGAAGTTGTTGACTTGAGCCTTTTACAGCTCGTCATATTAATATGGCTTTACTTTATATACCTCGTTTTTATACTTTTCTGCTGGATGGTTAAGACCAAGAAAAAGCAAGACCTGTGTAACAAGAAATGTAACTTTTGTATCTGACTATTGGCCACTTTTTAATTCATCTACCTGCAGTATATTATGATCAAATACTGTGACTATTGATTTTAAGAAGTAGTTTATGGACATAGAAAGCATATTATTAGGAAATGAGTATTTAATAAACTTTGTGGAATTGTTCTATTTTGCTATGTACTTGATTTTTTAAATTAACTGCATCACTCATTGTATATAATTAAATGTATTTTACTGAACTGTTACATTTCTAGTACTTACTTTATTGAGCTACAGTTCTATTTGCATATAGATTTATGACAAAATCAATTCCTAACTTTCACCCTTTATGAGTGAAATTTTGCCCATTATTTCGCCCATAACACTTCTCTTTTTTAAGATAGCATTTGTAGCTACGAGCTTGGTGCTCAAAATAGTCTACCTGTGAACCATGTAAACTTGGGCAAACAGGATAACATTATTGTGTAAAATGTCTGTACATCCACTGATCCTCATTCAAAACCCCACATCTTCTTTCTTTTTCGATGAAGCAACATGTAATTTTGCTCCTAATCAAGAGACTACAGTTAAAGTGATAGTGTCAATGAGTGACATCTAAAAAGGTGACATGAAAAATACTGTGC